ACTCGAGTCCGCTTGTGATATAAAAGTGATATAGTCAGAAATGATTTGTGTTCAACACTATTTCTGTTCTTCGAGTGGCTGTAGCGTAGTGCAGCTGCAAGCTTGTTAATTCCGTGACGTCATCATTTTTTCTGTGTTTGCTTTTTCTTAAATAATGTTTGTTTTTGGTGTGAGGTACTGTATATACAGCGGATATATTAGGTTAGCCTAATGTTAAAACTTCATCCTTCTCTATTTTGGGCTTTCTTATCCACATAATTCCATAAAACAGATCTTTAAATTTCACTGAATGTCTACCCCTGGAGTTACTGTGGTCGCACATATCTTTACATAAAATATAGGCACCGAAATAGAGTTATTTTTCCACCAGGAAAATCTTTTTTGTTTGGTTTTTTACTACCGTCTTGTTTTTGTGCTCCTATAAAAGGTCTAAAATGGGTTGCAGTAATTATGCATTTGAAAGGCGGAGAGGCCGTTGGATAGCACGACGAGCACGCGGCACAGCAGAGTTCCGTGGTACTATGCGTTACTGCTCACCATCAGTGCACGAAAAGAAGGAGCAGGTGTTTTTTCCAATTTCAGTGAAAATATACAGCTTTTATTTAAAACAGGCGCTAAATCACTTATTCGATTTGGATAGGACTGCATGCGCTGCTTAGAGAGTAAATATTAGCTAAAAGTGAGATATGACGAAAATAAGAAGATTAAAGCCAAAATGTCCAAAATCTGGTAATTACGTTCGTGTTTCGTTTTTTGCAGGGCCGAAAAGACGACATCTGGTCTCTAATATATCTACTCATTGAGATGCACTGCGATTTGCCGTGGCAACGGGAGAAGGATAAATCTCGATTGGAAATGAAAAAAATGAACATAAGCGATAAAGATTTGTTATGCCATTTTCCAGGTAAGCCCGTTACATTTCTTATCAACATCTGGAAAGATCAGCATTTCTAGATACACGTTTGCCGTTACCTTATCTTATTTGATTCGTCGCGAATAATCACTGCTCCTCGCCTGCCTCTTCCCCCTCCCCCTTCTCACCTTCCCCCGCGCCCAGCCCCTCCCTTCCGGCTCCTCGGGATACAAAAAAAATTAGTAAAATCAAAAGAAAAAGGAAAAAAAAGGACTCATGGCGCAACCAGTAAGAAGGGGGAAGACGAATCAGGAGAAAGATGGGATGGAAGGCTGGAAAAAGTAGCTTACTGTATTTTTATCCTACTGTATTTTCGTCAAAAAGGCAGTGCATTAAACACTTCTTTATTATATTTGTTCCTCACCATCCTGTCAAAAGTGGATTACCAATTTACCATCGAAACGAATGAATGAATTGAAAAAAGGAGCTATCGGTAACCTTGCCAGTGAATGGTTAGCACATAGATAGCAGCACTTCCGACTGCCTGAGCCTCTCATAAAACGCAGAGAAAGAGGGAGTTTTGATTTTCGACTTTTGGATGGGTAACATTCTTTCATTTTTCAGATAAATGTTGAACAAGCCAAACGCTCTGAGAAAATAAAAGGCAGTACGAGCCACAAAGGCCCTCTGAGGGAATGAAAAAAACAACCTTATAGAATTCGATTTTGTGTTCTAGAAAATTTCTTTAAAAAAAATTGAAGTGCTTGATTTGTAGAAGAACTACATCCGATAGTGTCGCATTTACGCGATTTGAATTGTTACAATCGACCTGACTATTCAATGATCCATCAGTGTTTCCTAAAACTGATCAAGCGGATTGGCGTAGAGTATGATGATCGTTATGACTGGGAATCTGAATTGCAGCTTCAGTATATTGTAAGTTTATCTTCGTTTTTGGGTCATCTACTCCCTGAGCTTTAGAAACAAAAA